TGCAAAAGAAATATTTTAATAATAATATATTTTGAGGTGATATTTTAAAAGTAAAAAAAAAAAGAACCGAAAATCAACCGAACCGTACAGATAAAGAGAAACCTATACTATTGGAATGGTTTTAAGAAATCTATTTTTAGTTATACATTATAACATACCCAAAAATTAAGATGATATAATTTTCTAAAAATAATCGACCGAACCGTCCCATTGACCCCTAATTATTACATGTCAACATTCCATGAATCCACTAATTACTATTCTTAGCTATATCTTTCTTGTCCTCCACAAGATTTTGTTTTTCCTTTTCCTCTACAACATTTAATATAGTAGTGGACACTACAATCTTTCTATTTCTTGGACAATTACCAGCACTTGGAAAAAAAAAATCATATTCCCTCTATCTCAATTTATGTGACTTACTTTTCTTATTGGTCAGTCCCAAAAAGAATGACACATCTCTATATTAAGTAACAATTTAACTATAAAATATGTATTTTACTCTTAATGAAATGATTTACAGTCACACAAATTTGTATCATTCATTTTGGACCACAAATTTTAAAAAAATTCTTTTCTTTTTTAAACTCCGTGCCAAGTCAAATTACCTCACATAAAATGAGACGAAGGGAGTACTATTTATTAGCATCATGATCTCATAGAATAGAATAATTACTGTTTCTTCAACTTCCTATAGAATATCTTTTAAAATAGTTATCCGCACTAAGTTAGGATTAACCAAAAAGATTATTATAAATTATAAAAAGAACACCAAACGATTTTTCTAAGTTGTTCTCTAATAGTTGTTTGTTATGAAACTTTATTATATTGTTCTATATTATTTAAAAAAATAAAATAAGTTACACCATTAAGTGGCGCAATCCTCCATTCAATTAAAAATTAAGTTATTCGCCTTCCTTTCATCTCACTCCTCATTGTCATATGTATTTGGCATTCCAGATACATGCAATCATACTAAATACATACAAAAGGCTAAAATAATGTAGTTACTTGGAATTGAACTCAGGTACTTTTTATGACTTTGAACAATTCTACCACTTGATCACACATGCTCTTTGATAAAATACTTTTATCGTTTTAATTTATATTCTTCAATTATAATTTTGCATTTAAAAAATTGACCATATCGGGATATCCATAGAATTTTGTAAGATAACTAGTAAAAAACGAGGGATGCAATGGTTTTCTTTAAATAATATTTAAAATTTATTTGTATTTTTGCTCGAAAAAACCGAGGACATAATCAGTTTTCTATTTTTTTTATAAAAAAAATCAATGATAATCAGTTTACCCTATCAGTTTTCTATTATACAAATTGTATAAATCCAGAATTTGTATAATTCGGTTCCTGATTATATAAATTAAAAATTAGTATATGCTTACCCTAGCTATCTGTATATGATTTATAAAAAAAATTCATAATAAATTACCTTGTTTGTATATTGGCAAGTGAAATATACAAACAAAGTTCTGAAAAAGTCTTACATGCATAAATACAAAATTTGTATATACTTACATTGTGTGTATATTCGCAAGTCAAATATACAAACGGGCAAGCGAAATACACAAACCGCAGCCTCCATTTGTATATACTTACCCTGTTTGTATATTTGCAAGCGAAATATGCAAACTGCAGCTTCCATAGCAAATGAAACTACAGTTATGAAGTGCAATTATCAAAACTATAGCTATAGAGCCTTATTATAATATATATTATCTTTGTTATTTCGAAAATTTTCTCCTCTTAATATGTCAATTGCTCCTAACTTGGAGTTGAGAAAAAGTGGATCAACATAAACCAGACCAACTAACCAATTGCTTGACAGTTTCTGATAGGTTAATTGGGCTTATCTAGGTAAGCCCAAATTGAACCAACTATTGAAATGGATTAATGTGGTTTTACCCAAATTTATTCAGAAAGTGATTTATATCCAGCCCAAACTTGGAATTAAGGATTTGATAGTTACACTTAACACTTATATATACCTTAAATAAAAGGAAAAACTACAGAAATCTCATACAACTAATTACATCTTATTCCAGGAGTTTTCCCAATTACGAAAAATCCCTAATTTTTCATTGCTCTCAGATACATTCATTGGTTGTATGATACAACAAATGATGCATTACTTAATGATAGGGATGAGGGGATAGGGATATATCCAAGAGGGGATGTATGTATCCAAGAGGGGATAGGGATGTATCTGAGAGGTGATTTTTGTAATTTTTTTAAATAGTAAGGAATTTTAGAGATTATGATATCTTAAGTTATGTAATCATGTTATTTTTTCTAAATAAAAAAACACATGTTCTAATGCTAATTTTATCTCATAATCTTAGAATCACGAGATAAAATCACATGTCAAAATTTCTACTAATTTTTTTTTACTTATTCTGCACCTTAAATTGTAATTTTGAAACTGAATTAAATCATAACTCACAAATATAATTGCATCACAATAATCTCACACCAAATAGCTATGAATTGCAACAATGGTCCGTTGAATTAAGTTCAAGAATAGTCCCACATCTTAGGGTGTGGTTGATACGGAGAAAAATATTTTTAATGAAAAATACATTCCTTCTTATCGAGCACACTCTTAATTGAACGCATAATAAACGCAAAACAAACCAACCCATCTCCAAAAAAAATTGCAAGTTGTGTGACACTCTTAATTATATGTTTATCAATCAATGTATCATGAATTGATATTGACATAAATATTATCTTTGGAAAAAAAAATTTAAAAAAACAAGAAAAATGAGGGGAAGTAGTTAGAGGCCCAACTATATTTCCAATTTTTCTTTTCTAGTTTGACATTTGCACATTAAATATATAGTTTTTTGAGCATATTTTTGTGACTTATTATAGTATATAATTGACCAGGACTATTAATTATCAAACCACGAGCATCGTGTTTTAATTTAAAAGAAAAGAATAATAAATTTTACACCTAATCAGGATTACAGGAAAATTAAATTTTACACCTAATCAGGATTAGGAGATTCAAAATAAATTTGTCCATAAATCATACAACTCTATAAACTTTCTAGCTTTTCTCGTTGTTTGCAATAAATTTCAAGCTCAAACTACATCTATTTATAAAATATGAAGAAAAAAAAATTATTGATGAATATTTATGAGCACAATTATGTTTGTTCGTTGATTTTTTTTTCAGAATTTTCTTTGTGACTCACGTTAGTAGCTTCTTTATATCTTACGATTTGGACCTCATCAGTAGAAACGTCAGGCAACAAAAGATAATATTTGATGTCTTGATCTCTTTATGAATATTTCAGGAATTTTTTGATGTCTATCGTTTTCAGTTGAAAATGCTAAATTTCATCACCCAAAAAATGCATTAAAAACATTATATTAAAATAAAAAACATAAAATGCGGTCCCCTTTTAGTAAAGTATTATTAACAAATAAATCAAATCAATAAAAGCACATCACTATCTTTGGACTTAGCTAGAAATCACGCATGCTACGTATATACACAAAGATAAAGACAACAACCAACACCAAACACAAAACAAAGAAACAACATAACATGAAATAAAACTAGTAATGTTTTTTTTTTCTCTTTTAATGGGTAGTATGCATCATGAATCCGAAATAATTATTGCCCAATACAGATACCAACCACCATTCATCAAAAACCAAAAATAACACCGAGCGTTCCACTAAATTCATGTTACCTTCCACCGACATAATTAGGGTCAAATTTACAGTTTTGACTACGGATTCTTCATAATTCAGTAATTTTGACTCACATTCTATATTTTTACTTTAAAATTAACTTAATATGTATAAATAACTTATTAAAAATCTATTAAGTTGGGATTTCTTGAATCAAGGACTCAAACTCAAAATCTTAATTTCGTTTTTGAACACAAATACCGAGTAAATTTGCTCACGAAGGCCTAAACAATTTTTTAAAAAAAACACTTCATTATTTATTTTTTTCTCTAAGGATGATTTTCATCCGCTTCATTGACCGTGCCTTCCGTTAGGTGCAACTAATAATGCTTTACATGCCAAAAATCACCATGATTACAAGTTAGATGAAATCATTAACTAGTTACACATGAGATTCTCCAGCTTTTTAACATAATTGGTTTATATACCAAAGTTTTCAGTTTCATAATAATTGCTCTTTTGTTGTTTTATTTTTTAGTTCAGTAATCGTATTATTTATTGTTGTTATTACTTTACTTTACGTACATACTTAACGTATGATATGTTTTACTTGAGTCAAGATCGATGTATATTAATAACAATCTTTCTATCTTCACAAAATAAAATTAACTGAGATCGCATGCACATCACCCTGTCCAGACCCGATTGATACAATACACATGATTTGTAAGTAACATGACATGATCAAGTAAAAAGGAGCAAGAAAGTGATAGTTGGGACCCAAATTACTCACCAAATATGCACTTGGCCATTTACACAGCTAAGACATGAATGAGACATGTCCACAAAATTTCAATATCATAACCAGTGGTTCAATGTCTGTTGGCTGTTGCTATCTATGCTTATCAAATGTTACATAACTTCTAGTCATTATTTTTCAAAAGTTCTCTTATTCTACTCTTTTTTTTTTGCCCTTTGCTTAAAACACCCATTGAGCCCATGGAATAGCCAACTTTAACTGTGTTTTCAGTACGAAGTTCACTTATTTTCTTGTGTTTGATATGCAACTAGATAATATTATGAGTTGGGGTGGGTGGTTGCAGAGGTGGGGGAGGAGACAAGCATTTGTTTTCCTACTTTCATTATGAAAGTTATTTCATCATTTTCAAGATACTTGTTTTCCTAAATATTTTAACAGCAAAAAAACAAGAAGATATTTTTCTCCGTATCGAACACATCCTGAGTGAACAATGCAAGGATGAGCAAAACTAAATTTATCACATAACTATCACTAGCAATTACACAAAATGTGTTCATGTTGCATCAAAAAACAAGGTTAAAACACACAAAATACAGTTCACATTAGCCATTTCGAATAAACGATACGTACATGGAATGAAACTAGAAACATTTTGGACAACAAACTTCAAACCATGAACACATGGTGGAGTAATTCTTAACTTGTTAAGAAACAATAGCAGAGCATATACATAATGCAACAGCTAAACGAAAGACAGCATCGCCGCTACAATTGCTGTCATGAGACTAGGAAAACAGCAAATGGTTGCAACTTGACAAGATCACGCGGAAAAGAGCAAGAGAGTGCAGCAAGCACAACAACTTCCAGAGGATCCTAACTGAGGTATATGTCATCAACTCGTTAACTGAGAGATATGAACGAGACATGACTAAAGACTTCAATAGAATGATGGTATTAAGAAGCCATAAGGGTCTTCGATCTGCATTTCTAGCTTACGAGATTCAGGGAAGTGCTCTTTACCACACGACGCTTGAGCTTATTTATTCACAAAAACTTCAGTCAGAACATTATGTCACGAGTGCCAATACTACTAGTACTCGGACTAGTATTAGCAGGAGCATAGAAGCTCAAAGAGTATCAAGTCCTAGAGACTTGGCTTTCACCTTCAAAGATCTCAAGTAACAGATTGCTTCATCAATGACATCCATCGAGTCTTTTCCTTTCCCTCCGGGGATTATTTTCTGCAAAATGCTTATCGTCTCGAGAATTTGATCTTTTCTTGGCCTCTTTTTCCCAGATAGAGAAACCAATTCTGAAACTTGATTATTGTGACTGTTCCCACAACTGGATTCTGCATCATCTTCCAAGTCAGAACAAGTAAAGGGTTTTGCAGACGTTGCAGTATCCATGAGTGATGGTATATGGCAGCCACCATCTAACTGCTTACGTCTTTTGCTTGGCCATTCTGAACTATTTACTTCTTCACCCATCTCGTCATGCCACGATGGTAGATCATGAGCTGTCATAGTACTAGGCGAGTGCCCTGTGCTCATTTCATCACCGTCCTCCGAATAACTATCATCGTCATCCGAGTAGAGTAGCGCATTCAATTCTTCAGTATCCTCGTGCAATTCACTTTCTACATCATCTCTATGATTTTCTTCATAATATTCACCACCGGAGTATTTTTCAGATGGATAAATTCCGTTCTCTAAAATCTGTTGGCCTTCCTTAATCAGATTACAAGGTGCAGGGGATTTTGGATGCCAAGAGGGGAGGCATTGCACAGGAGTACCATTTGGAGAACTGTAAAGTAAAGTTGTTTGATCACCAGATTGATCAAAAACAAGAAATCTTTTCTGCGCGGATCCGGGGCCAGCATTGGCTTCTTCATTTACTCCGGAATTGTCAACTGACTGAGGAGCAAACTTCTCTTTTGATATAGTGCTCAAAACAGGAGCAAAACCCTGATGCAACTGTGGTAAACAGTATAACCAATTGTGAGCTTCAGTTGGTTGGCTTGCCTTCGATTCTAGCAGCCCGGAAAACGAAAAGGGCGAATACCCTTTTACTGGAACCTCATTCGCGTACGGAGGCATGTAAATAGGAACAGAATTCTGCTGCCCAATATTGAGTCCACGACTAGATAAGTTCGAATGGGCAGATTGCAGATCAGGATACTGGCGACGGAACCACGATACAAAGTCTCTTTCCATTCAACCACAACAATCACCTGATGATCAAACCAAATAACATCCAATAAACCAGATGATCCAAATATAAAAACTTAATCTTCAAAACAATACAATTATCCAAGATCAGCGAAATTGCAAAACTTACCAGTTCTAAATAACTCAGGTAATACAAATTGCAGATTATTCCTTGTACACTTGAGAAACAACAGAAAATCCAAAAAATTCCAGCTTAACTAAGATGCAGCAACAAGAAAGACGAAAACTACGTGACAGGTTTCAACAACTGTCGGAAATATTCAGCCTGAAATAAACAAGAACAGAAATAAGGTTTCTTCCACAACAAAGTACAAAAAAGGGCAAGATCAAGGATACAACAAATACACTAATGTTGAAATCTTAATTCAAAATTACGAAACATGACGAACGCTAACCTGGCAATCTTGAAGAGGTTGAAAGCATGCTATAACTCTAACAATTATGGTGGCACACCCCGCAATTCCATTTTCATGTTTTAATGCCCGAAATCTTGTCTGGCCAGCTGCTTGACACACCATAACTACTTGTTCCAACCCTTCCACAACAATCTTCCACCAGAACAATCAAAAAGACCAGTGATTTCAAACAACTCCCACCAGAAAATGCTTGGAAAACAATACTACTTCGCGCGAATCTTTCTAATAAACTCAACCTATCTCCTAGAAGAAATGACAAAGATAACTACACCCGAAATTATCTTGCAACAGCAAACACTAATATCCCCAATTCAACAACAAAGTTCTGAAGAGGAATAGATTCTCAGCTAATCCTCAGAACGTAACACGGTATAACGATGAAACGTGTGGATCCCATGGAAGATTACTAACAAGATTACGAGTTCCCGAGGTTCAAAAACTGAAAAACTAATCAAGATTTCACAAATAAACTGTTTTTTTTTCTCAATTCTACAGAATTACATGACAGTACAAGTTCAAGGAGATGACTTTCCGATATACATCAACAGATAGACAGCAACACAGCATACTGTTTTTCTTTTTCTGTGCTTTCCACCAACTCTTAAGCTCCTGTAAACAGTACCACAAACAACATCAATTTACAAAGTCAAGAACATCATATGAAAGCATGTTATTGAAAAAAAAAAGTTAAGAATCTTGTAATAGCACGCCTTATTAGTGGGATAATTGAGGGGTGGGGTAAATTATTACTAATTAGAACAAAGATTTGTACTTTTTTGCTTTTGGTTACTTTAATCTTTGTTTCAGAGATTTACCAGTCATAAATTAAGGCAGTACAAAAGTAGTGTAAAAATTGGATCTTGGAAACATCAGTGTGAATAAGTTTTCTAATTTTTGTCAAAATCTATAGCACAATTTGTAGTATTTAACATAGATCTTAGTGAAAAATACAGAAGAAAATGCAAGAAAAAATCCATAAAATTCAGAATTCAGAACCCAACAATCAAAAAACAAACCCCATGTCATAAAAAACAGATACATAGCAAATAGACTAAAAAAAAATAATCGACAGTACATTATCAAGAAAAAGGGAAAAATCAGAAATTAGGAACTTACAGTGAATGACAATTGCAGAAACAACACCCAAATTGAGTATAATTAAAAACCCAGAGAGATTTTTAAAGGTAAGAGATTAAAAGCAGAGTGAATTATAGAGAGAGAGGAGAAGTAGAGTACAGTCAAAGATAAGGGTGGAGACTAATATAGACTTACAAAAATGATGAAAAAAAAGAAAAAGAAAATAAACATTTTAAGTCTTCCGTTGATTTGGAGGGTGGTTATCCGTGTAGATGACCAGGACTGATTCCTCCTCAATATTTTCTGAGTCAAGCCTGTTACATAGAATTTGCCTGATACGATTTATATCTGTTATGTGATTTGCGGACTATTATAAAGTGAAAGTTTACTCAATATATCCAAAGTGTTCACCCGAATGATAGAATTGTAGTCGTTGCAGGTTATTCTATTTTTTTAAAAATAAAAAACATTTTAAACTTTGGTTGCTGAAATTAATTGCTTTCATGCGTGCGAAATGCACGCTTGGATTTGTGTACAATCATATCACCTTTAATTTTTTGGTCTAGAAGGATTCCACTTGTTTTTTCTTTCTCTAAAAAATAGATCTAAAACATGATTTGGTCATATATTGAACTAATTTTATTTTATAAACTTTGGAAGATGATTTTTCAAGTTAATTGGAGCAAAGTGTAGGCCAATTAAGAACTCTCAAATTTAGAAGACGAGAGTTGCGGAAATAAGAATGTTGAGGTGGATGTGTAGGCATAATAGGAAAGACAATATTATAAATAAAATATTCGGAACAAGGTTAGAGTGAATTTCGTGATGGACAAGATTAGGGAAAGTGAGATTGAGATGGTTTATACATATGAAGAGGAGATGTGTAGAAGTCCCAATAAGGAGGTGTGGGAAGTTGTCAGTGGTGGGATGAATGAGGGATAGAGGTCGGTATGGGAAGTTCGTTGCTATGTCTACTATACGTTTGTGTGTTATTTTTAAAAATTGTTTGGTATGAGTTACTTGTGTCAGGATTTTTAAGAGACAGTCTCTCTACCTTCACGGAATAGAGATAAGATCTATGTATATCATATTATTTTCAGGCCTCGCCTAATGAGATCAGACTAATATTGTGGTTATTGTTGAAAAATATTCACCTTGCTATCCTTCAATTTTTTGTGTGTTTTTGTTTACAAAATAGAGATAAAATCTACGTACATCAAATTCTTTTTGTTGCATGCTCTCGAAACCAAACAAGACTAAAAAGAACATAAAAATTAGTGGCATTCATATAAGTGCTTTTATTTTGTTTCCTCAAGACAATAAAACGAAAAAACATCCCTTTCGAAATCTCAATTTAGATTTAGCATCAAATATCGCTTTGAAAGTGCTTTTTTTTTTTTTTTTGGTTATAATGCTTTTATTTCTTTTAATGACCGATATATCTATAAATTTTAGTACTACTAATTTTTCACCTCTAAAAAATGAATTTAATGCCCCTTTTTTTTCCTTTTCTTTTATAAACCCTTTTTTGGGGGTAATTCTACCATTGAATTAGCAATGCTAAAGGGGGAAAGTATCCAATGTGGGAAGAGAACACCCAATCATTTGAAACTTGACCATTCAAACCATGAATGATACAAAGCACAATGTAGGCCCCCTCTAACTAGCTATGGCTACTTGATTATCAAGATTCAAATATTATTTCAATCCACTAACATACTCTTTAACTTCAACTATGAACAAGGGTGTGATGAACCATCAAAAGTTAGGGCAGGGTGATAAGTATCTCTTTATTCAGATTTTAGGTATGAATTTCAAGAACGAAGTTGATTTGATAAGGAGAGTTTTATTTTTTAAAGTGAGACTTTTCAACATTATTTTGAATTAATCAACTTTAAAATGGAGATGGATTTACATTTTTAGCTGTGTGTCCAATCTTTGAAACTTTAGTATTGAAATTTTCATATTTTTAGAATTATGGATTTATGTATATACTATCTATTACAATTTTAATGAATTTATATACATAAATTAATATTATTTCACATGAAAAGTATTGGATTTTAGATGAATTCGCTATATAAAAGTTGCATCTTCCTTTGTTCCAAAGTGAATATCGATCACTAGGTGAAAATATGATTTGGAATATTCCTTCACGCTTAATTAGATATTATCAACTAAAATACTGTAAATGAGGAACTTTTCAATAAAATAATTTTACACCTTTTAGTAGACTTGCTTAACTCGAATTCAAATTAATCGATCTAGTAAATTTTGAATATCAATAATTGATTTTTTTTAAAATGAGGGGGGGGGGGGGGGGGGGTGAAGGGGCAAGAAGAACAAAGAACAAAGAAAATGGTGAAATAACAAATAGTAGTACAATAAAACTTTTTCATCATTAAAAAAAAAAAAACAGCTTTATTCCACACACTTTGCAAGAAATGTTTAATCAAACATTACTACTATGACTACTTTACTCTTCAACCTTGAATCACTTTTTCTTTTACTTTACTATAAATAATAATAATAATAATAATACATAGTAGTGAAATACTACATGATTATAGCATGCAAAATATTAACTATTGCACTTTGGCCAGTCATGCCCATACATACGCTATTGTCTAGTAACTTTCACTATAAACCTTAGACCTGCTAAATATAGATTTTATTATTACCAAAGATATTTCACAATCATGGTAGTTGGCATTAAAATCATCCACTTCATAGTGCAAAGTTTTTTAAAAATAAAATCAAGAAGTTGTCCTAATAATGCTGAATTCTAAAACCAAAATTTTCTCATATTTAAGGGCGGACTTTGGGAGAAAGCTACGAATTCGATTGAATTCAGTACCGTTTTAGCCAAAATCTTGTATTTATATTTGAAAAATTCATTTAATATGTTTAAACAATATACTTAGCTAGATTGTCCCTTTTAGAATTTAAAACCAAGAAACTCAAAAGTTGATTCTGCATGTATATATATTTTGTCACTTGCTTAGTGGTATCGTATAAGGAAAAAGAGCCATATATATCCCTTAAGTTTGTGATTTAAAGTGAATATATACACATTGCTGAAAAAGTGGTACATACCTTCATTGTTTTATAAATGATGCATACATTGTCTTGTCGTCTAACAAATGGTGCATAATTACCTTTTTCGTAAAGACACTGAATTATAAAATATAACCTAAAACACATTTTTTAAAAATTTAAAATGTCACTTGGCTTTTAAAAAAAATCACCCTAGTCATTTTCTTTACACCTCCAGACCCGTCCAAACAAAAATGAAAATTGGAATCTCTATTAGATTCAAATCCGATCCAAATTGATTTTATGACTGATTAGAAGAGGAATTGTATTCTTTTCATTTGAGTCGAGTCTCTAGGTCTGGTTTGAAGGGATAAAAAGAAAAGAATGAGTGAGATAATTTTTTAAGAGTCACATGATATTGTTTGAATTAAAGAAAAAACAGATTTAAGCTCTCTTTTTTAAATTCAGTAAATATAGGTCAGTTAACGAAAATGATAAATATGCACAATTTGTTAAACTATGAAAAATAAATGTACTACTTTATCAATGAGTAATATATTCATTCTAAATCACAAAATTAAACAATATATTCTCCAATTTTCCCTTTAATTTAATATGCATGTGAAGAGAATATATTATTTCTATTGGATATCTTTTCGTATATATATATATATACTATACTATTTTTATTTTCTTGATTTAATCATACTTTTATTTAGAACATAAATATTAAAGCAGGTGAATATTCGAAAACGACAGTCAAATTCTCAACTGTTCCCTTCTTTGACTATTGCTCTAATAATACCTAAATTAGATATTTGTTAGGTTATATGTGACAATTGACATACATGGAATACCCCATCTAATTAAATGACGTTCTATTTTATCGCGAAGACGGAAATTTTATCCAGAGCGAAAAATTATAATATCAAATATAAATTAGATATCTATAGATCAAAATTTATTTTGTATACATATACGTTAAATTTTAAATATTCTTGTAAAAATCCTGACTTCGACACTAGATATTAGGAACATTATTCATTAGTGAACTTATAATATTGTGAATTTGAATTAATCGAGGCAGTACACTTTAAATTCAGATACTTAAAAGCCAAAAAATAAAAAAGAGAGGAGGAAGACAAAGAAATAGTATAAAATAAACAATAAGTAGTTAATTATTAATTAGTTAAAGAAATGAAAGTGAGTGTACTATAAACATATAAATAACCCTAGAGACCATCATTTGATCACCTGAAAACAAATCTTTTGTACAGATGAAAAGATCCAAGGCAGACATTAATTAATTTATAAACCATAATTAAATTTAAACTTTGGATAATAATAGAAGATGCTTTGATAAATTAAATGCATGATGTTTGGAGTGGAGGGAACAATATAAATCAAGATTATTTCACTTTTGGTGGCAATATATAATACTTAAACCATCCATCACTACACTAATTTTTTTAATTAAATGTAGTAATACATAATTA